AGGAAGAATGGAAGGAAAGGAGGGGAGAGGAGAGAAGGAAAGGAGGGGAGAAGAGGGGAGAAGGGAAGGAGTGGAGGGAGGGGGGAGAAGGAAAGGGGAGAAGTGAAGGAAAGGAGGGGAGGAGGAGATGGGAAAAATGAAGGGAAAGGAAAGGAGACGGGCAAGGAAAGAGAGGAAAGGAAAAAGGAAAAGACACCAAGTTGAGCTGAACAGAATAACAGAAGGGTCCTTCAAGGTCTTCTAGTCCAAGCTTGACACTCCATGAAGTCTCTGGTTTCCTTCTCGGATCACTCCACCACCCCCTCCAACCCCACACTTTTCAGACTAGCCTAAGGGCCCAAGGATTTCTCAGTCTTTTCCTATTCCAGAAGTCCTCGGGGCCAACCTTGCTCCATCCGGATGAGTCACCAGCCTGCTATGTGCCGAGACACCCAGTCCAGGAGAGGCACCGTAGACAGATTCCAGGATGACGAAAAGATCCCACTCTTCCCAGACAGCCAAAGTGGAAGCCTGCAAACTCCCACAGTTTTCGGGAAGGAAGGGAGCCCATATTCCTAAACAAACAAGGCAGCTGTCAGTTGCCTTTTGGGTGTGTACCCTTGGCCCATCCCTTTGTCTCTCCAAAGAGTCCCAAAGGCAGTACTGAAATAGTTTAGCTGCTTGGATTTTGCTGGGTTTTCTTTTTCCCCCACCCCTTAAAATCATGTTTCTGATTTTAAGATTTGAGTCTCCTGCTCAAGCAGGAGACCTTATACCCGTGATGACGAACCTATGGCACGGGTGCCACAGGTGGCACGTGGAGTCATATTCTGTGGGCACGCGAGTGTTGCCCTAGCTCAGCTCCAGCGCACATGCGTGCACCGGCCAACTGATTTTCAGGCCTTCCGGTCCCACCGGAAGTCGGGAAACTGGCTGTTTCTGGCTTCTGGAAGGCCTCCGGGAGGATGGGGAAGACTGTTTTTGCCCTCCCCAGGCTCCTAGAAAGCCTCTGGAGCCTGGGGAGGGGGGGGAACGGGCTTACCGGGCCCACTGGGCCATCACGTGCCAAAAGCAGGGAGAAGTGTGGAGGGGGGGGTCACGTGCGCATGCGCGGGATGGTGGGGCGTATTGAATTATGGATGTGGGCACCTGCACCCGTGACCCCCCCGCTCCCCCGCTTTTGGCATGTGATGGCAAAAAGGTTAGCCATCCCTGCCTTATACCATTTCAGACAAGTGGCTGTCCAGTCTCTTCTTAGAAACCTCCAGTGATGAAGAGCCCACTTTTAGGGTTTCAAGTAAGATCCCCCAACGAAATCAAACTCCAAAGCTTGAAGTTCCTCAAAGCTAACTTTTATTAGGGATGTCATATTGGCACCTCTGGGAAAACCCGAATCCGAAAGCTTCCGGGTTTTCCACACCCACAAGAGAGTCCAAGACCTTGCCCACATCTCCCACATCCCCACACACTACCAATCAGTTCTTTTCCCGAACAGAAGACATCCTTCAATTTCTTCTTTGCACAGCTGCCGGGCCCCCTGGCCTTGAACTTCTCTTAGAGGAGTTTGTTATGGCTATCTCTACTCCACTCATGCAATCCTCCCCTCCCAACTTCCCACGGGATGATTGTGTCAGGCCTGGATCCTCAAGGCACGCAGGTAATATAGCTTCCAGGCATGACACCCACAACTTCTGAAGACAAGATGTTCCGCTGGTTCATTGTCCTCATTGTTAGGAAGTTTCTCCTTAGTTCCAGGTTGCTTCTCTCCTTGGTTAGTTCCCATCTGTTGTTTCTTGTCTTTTTTTTTTTTTATTTGATTTATATGCCGCCCTTCTCTGGAGACTCAGGGCGGCTTACAATGCGTTAAGCAATAGCCTTCATTCTTTGTATTTTTATACAAAGTCAGCTTTTTGCCCCCACAAACTGGGTCCTCAATTTACCTACCTTAGAAAGGATGGAAGGCTGAGTCAACCTTGAGCCTTGGAGAGATTCGAACCAGCAGAAATTGCAGGCAGCTGTGTTAATTACAGGGTGCACTAAACCCCTGTACTATCAAGGCTCTTGCTTTCTGATGCTTTGGAAAATAATTGACCCATCCCACCTCCTCTTTGTGGCATGTATCAGTTAAACGCAGGCTAGGCCATGACAGTTGAGATAAGGCTGCTCTTTGCCCAACATTGTTGAGACCATCCAATGACTTCTTGTGCCTTATGTAAGAATCTGAGCACCGTCTGTCTCTCCCGCCCATAATGTTTAACTCCTGACAAGCACAAGTTACCCATAATTGTTCTAGAAGGTCATGGGACCTTTTCTTGCTGCAATTGATGGCACAACATGACCTTCATCTTCCAACCTGACGTCTAAATTGGCAGGGCCAGCCTGGCAGGCTGAAGTAGGTCCATGAAAAAGCATTGTTTGTATTATCTCAAAGGAACACGGGCAAGCATGTACTCCTACACAGACCGGTGGTTGTTAACAATGCAAACAAATGCAACCATCCCAAGCGAAAAGTTAATGCAAAAGCAGGACAACGTGGCAAATAGACCAAACGGATTGTACCAGATAGTGAAGTAACTGAGCTCTCAACTGATCAATCGATCGATCTGCCTGCCTGCCTGCCTGCCTGCCTATCTATCTATCTATCTATCTATCTATCTATCTATCTATCTATCTATCTATCTATCTTCTACCTACCTACCTACCTACCTACCTACCTACCTACCTACCTACCTACCTACCTATCTTCATTGTCTATCATCTATCTGTCTGTTTGTCTGTCTGTCTGTCTGTCCGATAGATAGATAGATAGATAGATAGATAGATAGATAGATAGTTCTTCATCATCTATCTATCTATCTATCATCTATCTATCTATCTATCTATCTATCTATCTATCTATCTATCTATTATCTATCTATCTATCTATCTATCTGACACAGACAGACAGACAGACAGACAGATGATAGATGATAGGTCTGTCTGACTATCATCTACCTACCTACCTACCTACCTACCTATCTGACTATCCATCCATCCATCCATCCATCCATCCATCTATCTATCTATCTATCTATCTATCTATCTATCTATCTATCTATCTATCATCTATCAATCTATCAATTTATCTTCATCATCATCTATCTATCTATCTATCTATCTATCTATCTATCTATCTATCTATCTATTGATCTATCTATCATCTATCTGTTGATCTATCTATCTATGTATCTATCTATCAATCAATCTATCTATCATCCATCCATCCATCCATCTACCTACCTATCTACCCACCCACCCATCTATCATTTTCTGTCTTCTGTTTTCCATCTTCTATCATCTATTGGTATTCGTGAGAAAATAGTATTCCAGAGCAATAATATTCAAATAATGCAGCTACATGCTTCTTGTAAAGGAGAATGAAGTAACAGCTAATGAAAAACGTTTGTAAACATACATTTGAAACCACGTGGAGAGAGAGAAAGAGAGAGAGAGAAAGAGAGAGAGAGAGAGACCTTTGTTCCATCCTTGCTCCTCAGTGGAGTGGGAGGTTCCTATGTTTGGCTGGGGACCAAGTTTAAAATTGGCCAAAAATAGAATGCAATCAAGCTTTTCTAGCTAATGGTTGCAATTAATTTCCTCCCCTCTGACACGTCTTGACTGAAATGTGGGTTTATTTCATGGAAGAAACAGACCATTCAGGGTGAAATTATTGCTGACTTTTTCCTTCTGGATACACACACACACACACACACACACATATATACACAAAATCATTTTGGTATTCCTTGGCTTAGGAGCATCTTTAACAACTGTTACGGCAATGCTGAAAAATGGGATTTATGACTGGTTCTCATGTTTATGACCAATACAGCATCCCTACAGTCATGGGATCCATATACTTATGATGTTTTTGGCTTCCCAGCTTCTGACAAAGTCAGTGGAGGTAGCTGGATTCACTTAATGACTCATGTGAGTCATTTGACCACAGCAATTGTGGCAAAATAAAATTTAAGAAAAGGTGGTGAAATCAAGAGTGACTCACTTAAGGAGCAGTTAGCACTGCATTCTAACCAGAGCCGCAGTGGCGCAGTGGTTAGAGTACGGTACTGCAGGCTACTTCTGCTGCCTGCCGGCTGCCTGCAATTTGGCAGTTCGAATCTCACCAGGCTCAAGGCTGACTCAGCCTTCCGTCCTTCCGAGGTGGGTAAAATGAGGACCCAGATTGTTGGGGGCAAGAGGCTGATTCTGTAAACTTCTTAGAGAGGGTTGGAAAGCACTGTGAAGTGGTATATAAGTCTAAGTGCTATTGCTATTGCTATTGCTATCTCTCCCTCATTCTCTCCCTCCCTCCCTCCCTCCCTTCCCTCCCTCCTTCCTTCCTTCCTTCCTTCCCTCCCTCCCTCCCTCCCTCCTCCCTCCCTCTTTCCTTTCTTTTCCTTTCCTTTCCTTTCCTTATTCCCTTTCTCATTCTTCTTCCTGGTGGCACAGTGATCAGAATGCAGTATTGTAGAGCTCTTAAAGCACTGTGAAGTGGTATATAAGTCTAAGTGCTATTGCTATCCCTCCCGCCCTTCCTTCCTTCCTTCCTTCCTTGTGGTTAGAATGCAGTATTGCAGGCTAATTCTGCCCACTGCCAGGAGTTCGATCCTGACCAGCTCAAGGTCGACTCAACCTTCCATCCTTCTGAGGCCGGTAAAATGAGGACCCAGATTGTTGGGGGCAATAGGTTGACTCTGTAAATCACTTAGAGTGGGCTGTAAATGCACTGTTAAGCGGTATATAAGTCTAAGTGCTATTGCTCTTTTGCTCTGTGATGAAAGGTCCCAATTGCATTTGTAAGTCAAGGACTATCTACAAACTCTTCTGTCCATTTAACCAGGCTTCCGTTGTGTGTTTGCTATTTTAAATGACTTTTTTAAAAAAAATTGCTTGTTTTTATCAGCACAAAATGATGTTTTTTGTTTGTTTTTTTGCCATGGAATTCTTGATGCTATATTTGGCGCTTCAATCTCTTTTGACAGACCGCTTCGATCTCCGCGATACGTATTTTGAGGGAACTTCGGAAGAAGAGACGCGTAAGAGGTCGAAGTAGCAGGAGGAACAGCCGCCACGTCTTGGCGACCGGGGTGAAGAAGGATGTGGTGTAACCAGCGTTGTGGCTTGCTGGCCGTGGCAATCGTCGGGGCAGTGCTGGCTATCCTTGGAGGAGTGATGATCCCGGTTGGAAATCACATGGTGGAGAAGACAATCAAAAGGGTAAGAGACATCCACCGTCCCTTCTATTTCTGCATGGTTTCCTCCCTTTCTTCTTCTCAGCGTTGAATTGAATTGAATTGAATGATGATGTATGATTAGACGCAAAAGGAAATTGTCTCTGGTGCAGAAGCTCTCTGCGTACACGCAGGGCCACTGAATGATGATAATATCAAAGTAAGAAAGATAATAAGGATCAATAATTGTAACAATATTACAGCCATAAAAAGGTAAAGCTATGTGCTAGTCGTTCCCGACTCTAGGGGGCAGTGCTCATCTCCGTTTCAAAGCTGAAGAGCCAGCTCTGTCCGAAGACGTCTCTGTGGTCATGTGGCTGGCATGACTTAACGCCAAAGGCTCACGGAACACGTGGTATCCTAAAGCCCAGAAAGAATGAGATAAAGGAGGGCCTTTGGAGGTGCCCTTAAACACTCCCAAAAATGTTGATTGGAAACATCTACTCAAGGAAGGATCAGAATCTCTTTTAAGCAACAGATGATGATGATGATGATGATGATGATGATGATGATGATGATGATGATTAGTTAATCTTTGGTGAGATTCACAGCCTTTGAGGCTGGTTAATAGCTCAGCAGCTCGAGTCCTAACCAAGGACCTAGGAACTGTTAAGGTATCGTCGGAGGATGTAAGCTGTTCCGAGTAAGGTGGTTTTTTGTAGAGTCAAAATGTTCAAGTCCGGCAAATTTAGAATTTCTAAATAGCGGGTAGCCTTTGGGTATTGCTCCGAGGGCTCCAATTACAATCAGGACAACACACAATTTCTTTTTCCACAGTCGCTCAACTTCAATTTGCAAGTCCCGGTACTTTGTGATTTTTTCTTGCTGCTTATCTTCAATTCGTGCATCACCAGGTATTGCAATGTCAATGAACCATCCTTTTTTCTTTCAATTGTTATGTCATTGTGTGTTGTGGACCAAGTGCCTGTCAGTCTGAATCCTGAAGTCCCAAGATCTTGAGTTTCTCATTCTCTTAAAACTTTCTCAACCTGATGTTCCCAGTGGTTTTTTTGCTATACTCAAATCCAAACTTTGGCACAATTTCCAGTGAATGATTATTATTATTATTATTATTATTTTAGAATACAGCTGAGACTACTGCAGGATCTGCCCTGTTGTCTGGGCAAAATCCAGCACCGAATAACACAGTTGTTTCAGCCACTGACTATCTTTTCAGATCTAATGTTTTGTGTTTTGGTTCTAACCCCGATACCAACCGGGAACTTCATCTAAAAGTTAATTAAACTGCTTCTGGTTTCGTTTCTTCTCCCTTCTGACTGATCGGAGTTAGACCACATGAACGCTGCGTTACCATGCAAGCATTTTTGCTTACGTGGCAAACCTTGTTGACATGTGCTTCTGATTCCACAAAAATATTTGTCACTACCACAATTTCCTCTTGTAGGACTTTGAAATCACCAAGCAGCTTTCTGAATTTCAAAAGAGCTGCCAGTGTCAGACTGGAACTCAAGGCTTCTCTGAGCTTTTTTTTCTCGCGAAAACGGTTGAGAGGTAACGTGGTCTTATAATCAGATTCATTATTTAAACAGTAGCATTCACAGTCTGATTCAACCTTCCGTCAACAAGCCAGTTGGGTTTCCTGAAATGTTGCCATTAAAGGGAAACGGAGAGAATCTCCGAAATGCTTCCCTGTTTCCTGTTTTCTTTGGTCAGTTCGACTCTTGAGTGTTAACAATTTTGTAAACTCTTCAGATCATTTATGAGCTCCAAAGTCCCTTCCACAACTCTGTTAGATACAGATCAAGGAAGGGACCTTGTAGGTCATCTAGTCCAACCCCCACCCAAGAAGACCCTACACCATTTTTGACAGATGGCAGTCCACTCTCTTCTTGAAAGCCTCCAGGGATGAAGCTCCCACCACTTCTGAAGGCAACTTCTGTTCCATGGGTTGATTGCTCTCACTGTCAGAAAATTTCTCCTTATTTCTAGGTTGAATCTCTCCATGGTCAGTTTCCATCCATTCTTCCTTGTCTGGCCTTTGGGTGCCTTGGAAAATAGCTTGACCCCCTTCCTCCTCTCTGTGGCAGCCCCTCAAATATTGGAAGACTGCTATCATGTCTCCCCTGGTCCTTCTCTTCACTAGACTAGACATATCCAGTTCCTGCAAGCGTTCATTGTATGTTTTAGATTCCAGTCCCCTAATCATCTTCGTTGCTCTTCTCTGCACTCTTTCTAGAGTCTCAACATCTTTTTTTTAATAGCGTGGTAACCAAAACTGGATGCTGTACTCTAGGTGTTATTCCTTGGTGTTATTCTGTTATTGTTTTGTAAGCCACCGAAAATAAAAGAGATATAAATCTGGCTTGTTTCGAACCACCCAAGATTTTGCGGCAGACAGTGGCACTCCCTTCCACCGTCATTTCACGCCGACTGCCTTTCTTTCGGCCAGCCGTCTTGCAAATATGACAAGCGTCTTTATTTCCTCTTCTAGGAAATAAAAATTAACTAGGATATTGTATATTTGTATATTTTGTATTTTAATTCTGGCTGTACACCGCCCTGAGTCCTTCGGGAAAATGGGCGGTATATAAATAAAATTATTATTATTATTATTATTATTATTATTATTATTATTATTATTATTATTTAATCTTTGGTGAGATTCACAGCCTTTGAGGCTGGTTAATAGCTCAGCAGCTCGAGTCCTAACCAAGGACCTAGGAACTGTTAAGGTATCGTCAGAGGATGTAAGCTGTTCCGAGTAAGGTGTTTTTTTGTAGAGTCAAAATGTTCAAGTCCGGCAAATTTAGAATTTCTAAATAGCCCTTTGGGTATTGCTCCAAGGGCTCCAATTACAATCGGGACAACACACGATTTCTTTTTCCACAGTCGCTCAACTTCAATTTGCAAGTCCCGGTACTTTGTGATTTTTTCTTGCTGCTTATCTTCAATCCGTGCATCACCAGGTATTGCAATGTCAATGAACCATACTTTTTTCTTTTTCAACTATTGTTATGTCAGGTGTGTTGTGGACCAAGTGCCTGTCAGTCTGTTATTATTATTATTAATTATTATTATTAATAATATAATTATTATTATTATTATTATTATTATTGTCTCCTTCAAGCCAGAAAGGTCATGACGTTTCTCAGGACAGTCTTTGCGAACGTAATTTAAAATTGCACGTCAAAGTTGTGCATCCAGTATAACAACCTCTCGGGGGAAAAAGAAAAATCCATCTTGCCAAAACCACACCGCATTCATTTATGGTTCACCAGACGTAGCTTGGCTTCTGTTCTCTCGTTTAGCAATTACCCCAGTTCTCCTTTTGAAGAAAACGCTTAAGGGATCATTAAGACATGATAGCTGACTCTGCACATTTTTCTCCAGCTCCATGTGGTTCCTTTCCTTCGCTTGTAAACTCCGGCCGGTGAGAATTACAATCCCTTGCTTCAACTTTTCCAATTTTATTTTATTTTTTTTTAATTTAATTTTTATTTATTTTTATATGCCGCCCTTCTCCGGAGACTCAGGGCGGCTTACAATGCATTAAGCAATAGCCTTCATCCTTTTGTATATTTTATACAAAGTCAGCTTATTGCCCCCACAAACGGGTCCTCATTTTACCCACCTTAGAAAGGATGGAAGGCTGAGTCGACTTTGAGCCTGGTGAGAATTGAACTCGCAGTAATTGCAGGCAGCTGGAATGTTAAATGCTGCCTTAATAGGAGGCATTAGCCTCCTACACCACTCAGGCTCCTTCAATCTCGGGGGCACAGCCCAAGTTTGGAAGAAACCAATGAACCAATGTAAGCAATTTCCTTCCTTTAACAGTAAGGAAAAATTGGGGGGAAAAAAAGACCCTGTTAAAACTGTTTTAAACTGTTTTTTAAAAAAATAACATTTGTCCTTGGCTAAAGAGGAAATGTGCAAACAGTAAGAGCTTTTCGGTTAGGTTAAAAAAAAAAAAGTCAACAGTTGACGTAGCCTTGGCATGCTTTCATATCTGTTGTAAAATAGAAATATACAAGCAGCCCTCACCGCAGGCTCCAGGTTAAGGAAATGCCTGCGTGGCATGAAATCATGGTGAATTCTTAAGTTTGACTTCTGCTAGGATTCCTCTTAGTGCAATTGTCTGTGCGTATTGTTTCTGCCTGCCGACATCCGACAATCAATTTGTTGCAGGGTGTGCTATCTTACTAGGTGGCTCAGTGGCTAAGAGACACTGAGTTTGTCGATCAGAAAGATCGGCGGTTCGAATCCCTAGGGCAGGTCTCCTGAGTGAGCAGGGGGGCTGGACTAGATGACCTCCAAGGTCCCTTTTCCAACTCTGTTACTGTTAAAGCTGTTAGAACATAACGCAGAAAGGAACTCAACACAGAATAATAGAGTTGGAAGGGACCTTGGAGGTCTTCTAGTCCACCTCTCTGCTCGAGCAGGAGATATTATACCAGTGATGGCTAACTTTTTTGCCATTGCATGCCAAAAGCGGGGGGAATGTGGGGGGGGGTCGCGTTCATGTGTGCCCACACCCATAATTCTATGCACCCTGCCCCCCTGTGCATGCAACCCCTCGCGCTACCCCAATTTTGGCACGTGATGGGACGGTGGGCCCAGTAGGTCCGTTTTTCACTCTCTCCAGACTCTAGGAGCCTGGGGAGGGCAAAAACAGCCTTCCTCACCCCCACGGTCCCACTGGAAGTTGGCAAACGGGCCATTTCTGGCTTCCGGAGAGCCTCCGGCGGGGGAAGGCTGTTTTCGCCCTCCCCAGGCTACTAGAAAGTTCTGGAGCCTGAGGAGGGGGAAAAAATGGGCCTTTCCCCCCAGGGGTGAAATGTAAAATTTGTTACTACTGGTTCTGTGGGCATGGCTTCGTGGAGGGGTGTGTGTGTGTGTTATGTGATTGGGTGGGCGTGGCCAACTTTTTTTTTTTTTTAACTTTTCAAAGCATTTTTTCTAATGCTTTGAAAAGCCTCTGCCGATCAGGCAACTCAGCTGGGATCGATAGAGACTTTTCAAAGCATTTTTTTTACCACCTCTTCGGCCAAGAGGT